CTCAACTCTTCCAGCTGTGAGGTCATGTGAGGCAAGGAAGAGGGGGAAGTACATGACTTGGTTTTACCTGTTCTGTAGGTTCAGGAGGAGTCCTTTACTCAGTGGGAGTGGAGGAAGGTAGGTGAGGACTTCGGTGGAAACTTACAGCTCCGAGGAGCCTGCTTCATTGATGACTGAATGAGTACCACATTGGATACATCTCTATCCGAGCAATTCAGAATCCTGCTCATCAGTCAGACTGGGCTCATCAGTCAGTCAGGAATCAGGTTCAGTCCACTTAAGTGGACCAAATTAAAGTCCATTTAATTGCTTCTTACACCTTCTTAGAAAAGTATGATTATCTGGGAACCTAGCCTAAAAGAGTACATCAGCATTCTTAGGAGTCTTTGTGTGGTCATATGATCTCTTGAGCTATATCCAGCATGGTGGTAGAGGGCAAAGCTAACCTTTTCCAGGTATTACTGTGGAGTTGAGTTCTGCTCTGACCTTTTACCCCACCCTGGCTTTCCAAATGTCAGCTGGCCTTGGCTACAAGGATACCTAGCCCCGTGCCTGGCACATGTCAGGCACACAATAAATATTTGTTAAACGAATGTTGTCTGCTGTGTCCCTGAGTGTCTTACTCTTCATCCTGACTATCTCCCTTTGGTCTTGGTTTAATTGTGATATGTGAAAAACTTCCTAAAACCACTTGCAAAATTTGAGAAGTTGGGCCTGAACAATTAGGACATCTTCCGGGATCTAATGTAAATACCTGTACTTTGGCTTTGTTTTTGCCGTTATTATGTATGCATCGTAGGGGTCAGGAAACTGATTTTAATAGCTCTTAGGGTTGCATATGTATGTAATGCTTTGTTGGGGTGGGGGCGGTATGGGTGGAAGATAGCCTCATCAAAGGAATGTCTCTATCTCAGCATATTAAAAAATGGAGGGATTTAAATTGGGCATCAGGATGCACAAGATTTGAGGAGGAAGGCTGAAAACAGAAGTCCTTTAAAGGTACACAATGATTGGGGTACCTGGGTGGTTCAGTTGGTTAAGCGTCCAACTCTTGATTTTGGCTCAGGTCATGATCTCACGGTTCGTGAGTTCAAGCCCTGCATCGGGCTCTGTGCTGGCAGCACGGAGCCTGCTTGGGATTCTCTCTCTTCCTTTCTCTCTGCCCCTCCCCACCTTGCTCTCCCTCCCTCTGTCCCTCTCTCAAAATAAATGAATGAACTTAAAAAAAAAAAAAAAAGCTAAAAGTACACAATGATGGGTGGCCCAAGTGTCCTGCTCCAAAGGTACTAAGCACGTAGAAGCCATTAAAAAAAACTTGAGCAACTTTTTGGAAATGGCTGGGCTTTGGATCATTGCCACAGAGTGCTCACCTTTCTGGTGAAACATCAGAAAACTTTTCTCTTTCCTTTGAATGAATACAGTTGCCAGCTTTTACCCCAGTTCCATCCCTTTGGAGCAGGAAGCTGGGGCTAAAATGTTAAATGGCTCTTCTATCCATTCCCCTCTTCTTTTATACCCTGCTTGTAGGTTATCTCCCCCAACTGTCCATTCCCCAACTGGGGAAACCCTGGCTGATGAGAAATTCTGTTTAGCCATTTTCAGGCTGCTGTAGGCAACAGCAGGCTCAGAAAAAGCCTCCTTTCTAAACCCTTGCTTTTGCCTAACATCCCCTGGCTGCTGTCCCCACATGACCCAAATAAACAGATGATCATGTGAAGCCAGTAAGGCTGTTTGTTTTAAATAGCAAGCATCTCCACTAAGCTCTGGAGCAGATGGGATATTGGGGGCAAGGGAGAGGCCGGCATTTGACTCTGTTCACCCCACTTCTCTCTCTCCCACCCCTGAAGGAAAAGGCGTCTTCAGTATGTTCCTTTTCAAAAGGGTGCTGCTTTCATGGGATAGAGCTCATTCCTGACAAGAAAAGTCAAAAGTTGGACTTCAGCCTCTACAAGAGACTTCAGGGCTACATGAGTGCTATGAGCACCTGAGAAAGGCGGAAGGTACAGCTGGATGGAGCTCTCTGAGCATCTTGGGCCACTGGACAGAATGGTAGTGCTGACCCCAAACAAAACAAGAAGTTGGTCAACATTATTTTAGGTCACTATTATGTGTATTATATATATTGTTTAGCACCCCACCCCATCACACACAGCTATGTATTGTCTTTTTTTTTTTTTTAAATGTCTTATTTATTTGAGAGACAGAGTGCAAGCGTGGTGGGGGCGGGGGCAGGCAGAGAGACAGACACAGAATCTGAAGCAGGCTCCAGGTTGTAAGCTGTCAACACAGAGCCCAATGCTGGGCTCTAACTCATGATCATGACCTGAGCCTTTGGACATTTAACTGACTGAGCCACCCAGGTGCCCCTATGTATTGCCTTTAAACTTACCATTTTCTTTGGTTGTACAAGTGAGCCAGGCCCAACCACACTAGTAGCAGGTGGCAGACACCTGAAAGGAAGCAATGTCAGGACCCACACAGATCTCACCCTCCCAGGAAAAGGGCATTCAAGCATTCATCTCCGGGCGGAGGGACAACTGGGCTGAGTTGTCCCCACCCCTTCCCCACTACCTTCCTTTCCAGCTCCATCATAAGCAAAGCTAGTGACACCTGAAGTGTGTGATGGCCTCTATGCTCAGCTACAGACACTGCGTAAAGATCAGAGCCCTTATGTAGACTGCTGTTGGCAAACACCCCCCCTTCCTTCTGTTGGTTCTTGATTTCCAGGATCTGTGCAGATTTTCTTAGTATGCATTATGCCCCTGCCGGCTTTCTGTACAAATTTGGGGCCTTTTTTAGACCTCAAAATAGGAACATAACCCTCTAAGGGCACAGTGGGGATGGGATGGGATGGGACGAGATGAATTGGCAGGGTGGTCTGCCACTCAGCCGTCCTCATTAAGGTTTGCTTTGTGGTTCTGTATAATGGCGAAGCCCAGGCTGCAGGATCCTGAACCCAACTGACATTGCCCCCCTCTGTTCGAACCGGTAGCAAAGAAAGGAATCTGAGACTAGGACCTGGGGGCCGTAGGACTGCTGGCTTTGAGGCATTGGAGCAGCAGAGCTGTACATGGTCCAGGGTGCTGCAAAAGTGCCTTCAGCCGGGCTTTGTATTGCTACCAACTGTACCATTGGGGTTTGTGTGGCCCGAACCAAAGAAGCAGAACAGCAGGGTTTCAGGTGAAGATTTTGGAGGCCCCGATTACCATATATTAAGTGGGCAGACCACTTCCCATGCGGGCAGTTTGATATTCCTCCATGATTTTTTTCGAATTCGGTACCCTGCCCCAGAACTGCCTTCACAAAAGAGTCGTCCACGGGGTCAGGGATAAATGCTCCTCCCTATGGGGGGTGAATAGTGAGTGACTTTCGACAAGTCCTTTCTCATCTCTGGGCCTCAGTTTCCTTATCTGCAAAATGAGAGGTTTGGGGTAAATTGACAAAGTCTAACTTTCTGATTGTACCCGGAGGCTCCTCCAAACCGGAGCTTTAGAAGAGGCGGCAGCAAGCGCCAGCCGGGGGTCCCGCCCTCTGGGTGAGCTCGGTCGAGGCCGGGCGTTGCGTCCGGACCCCGAGCCCCGCCAGCGGTCTCACTAGCCCAGCGGCTGGCAGGGCCAGGCTTCCGCCCTCCACGTTGTTGTTCCCGATTTGAGCCACGCCCCCTTAGTCTGGGCTGTGGACGCCTTGCCTTAACTGCCCCCGCCCCGGCCCCAGTTCAAAGGGTGGCCTGTGGGTGGCACAGTTCGACACGCGTGGACAAAGACAAGAATTTAGGGGAAGAAAAGAGAGAGACTTGGTTTTAAAGGGAAGGTGGTGAAAAGTAAAGGGTCGGCCAGGGCACAACTGCGGAATTTCCCTCTCAGCGTCCCACCCTCCGTTCTTACAGTGGACCCATCCGCACCCACGAATGTGACCGTGTTAGACACTGGCCCTTTAAACGGAAGGCTGGCGGCGCGGGGTGTCCATGTGGAGCTGCTCCATGCCGTGTTGTCCTGCCCGCCCATTGGCCCGCGGCCCGGTGACGTCGCCTAATAGGATGCGAACGCACTGCGGGGGGAGGAACGGAGACAAAACGCGGAACCGGATCGCCACTCCGCTCCCTCCGGCTGTTCTCTGGCAGAGTCCTGCCGTCAGCTCCGCCCACGGGCGGATCCCGGGGGAATTGCGACAGCCGGATGGTTGCAGGAATTAGGTCACGTGTGGGTAGGGAGCGGAGACCCTGGGGTCAGGCCAGTCTGTACCATCCTAAGGTTTCCCTGACCTGGAATATCCTTATTTGAGCTAACTTAAGTCTTAAATTCTCCACCCTTCCTTTCCTCCAGCAGGACAAATTTCGTTGTGAAAGACCGCAACACGCAGCCCTTGCTCAACTTGTGGCTTGCCATCGGGGCGGGGCGAGGAGAGAAAGCGGAAATGCAGGGCGCGAACGAGGCTGGAGATTCTCCCACCCCCACCCCGGCCACGTGTGCGCGCGCCGTCTGTAGTGGGCGGGGCCAGCTCGCTCGGGACCCCGCCCCTCCCTTCCTGAGACGCCGCGGCCCTGCGGGCGGGGGCTCCGGTCCGGGCTTTGGCTGCGGCCCCGGTGTAGTAGCGGGGGCGGCGGCCGGGGGCAGCGCGGCTCCTTCCCTTGTTGTGTGTGTCGGTGCCTCCTCGCCATCTTGTTGCAAAGCCTTTTCTTGTCGGCGGGACTCCCGGGGGCCGCGGGGCGGGAGGCATCTGAAGGGAAGAAGAGAGGGAGGGGAAGGAGGGAGGCAGTGCTGCCTTTTGTTTTTTTGCATCAAAATTTTTAAAATTTGCAAATTATATTTTGCAAATATTTTGGGAAACATTAATTTTTGTCTCCGTGCTCTCCCGTTCTTCCCTGCGGAGTGCGCTGCGCCGCCCAGCCCTGTCGCCCCCCGGAGGTGATCCCTCCCTCCTGCCTGCCCGCCAGCCTGACCTGTGCCCGGCTCGCGGGCCGCAGTCTCGGCCCCGGCGCGCCCCCGGCAGCTCTCGGCGCGATGAGCATAGAGACGCTACTGGAGGCGGCCCGCTTCCTGGAATGGCAAGCGCAGCAACAACAGAGAGCACGTGGTGAGCGGCCGGGTTGGGCCCCTGGGGCACCGGGGAAGGGGAGACGAGCGACCCTGGTCTCCGAGCCCACGCGAAACCGCGGACACGACCCCCTCCCGAGCGGCCCGCGAAGCCGGGCAGCGCAAGGTTCGCACAAGAGCCGCCGCCTGGAGAGGAGTGTTGGGGGCAGTAAAATTAATTAATGAATACATTAACATTCAGTGAGGGACCCGGCTCCTGTGGGCGCCACCTCAGCTGCCTGCCACCCGGTGTGCACCTTTCGTGGGGGCTTCTTTCGCGTGGGCCAGGGGCGCCCTCGGTAGAGCTGAGGATGTGTGAGCCGGTGGGGGGTGGGGTGCGGAATGGTGTTGCGTGGGGGTGGCAGACCCGCGTGTGCGTGCGTGTGTGCAGAGGGGATTGTGATGTGAGCCTCGAGGAGAGCGGATGAACGGACGTGTACACGGGCGAGTGTATAGTGCACACGAGTGGGCGTGTGTGTAACGGAGTGGGGGGTGGGAATTACTCTACGCCGAGCGGCTCCCCGGCTTCCCTGGCCCTGTGGGAAGGGTGCGGGGGGCGCTTCTGGACGATCTACGCGCCGCTTGGGGCGGAGGCGGCCTTTGCAGAATGAAATGACATCGCGTGTCTTATGATCCAGGCCAGCCCCGCCTGACCCCGCCTCCCAGAGCTGGGCTGGGTCGCGCTTCAGGGATTTGGGTGAGAGCCGGGCTGATTGGGTGTCTGCGAAAAGGCCTGCAGGTCGCTGGGGGCAGTCCCCGGGCCCCCCTTGCTGCGCCCCACTTTAGCCGGTGTGGAATGTGGCGTGTCTGCGCGTTCCAAACCCGCTCTCGGCTGGAATGTTGCGTGTGCCTGCGTTCCAAGCCCGTTGGTTACACCGGGTGGTGACGTGGACAGGCCCCGCCTCCGACCACGTGCACGGGGGACACTCCCGCTGGGGACGGAGCGGCCCGGCCCCTCCCGGCTGCCTCGCGCTGGGCCGGGGGCGGGGCCTGGGCGGGGCTGGCGAGTGGCCTTGCGCCGGGTTGGGCCCTGGCTCCGGCCGCCGGGCACCTCCCCGGGAGAGCCTGTGCGCTGGAAGGAGGAGCCGCCGAACTCACCTGTCCATTCTCTCCCTAACCTCCTGTTTTTGATCCTGGGGCAAGGGAAACCCTCAGACTTGCAAGGCGACAGGACATTTAGAGCTCACATATTCCCACTGACGTTTGGGGGAACGTTCTCACCAGGACCTCCTGACAATACCCCTGGCCACATTGTGGAGTGAACCAGGCTTGAGAAGGGGCAAACTTTGACGTTCCCTCGACAGGAAAGGAAGATTTCAGATGCTTTCCGTCCCACCCGCCCTGTCGGTGGTCCCAGGCTTCAGGGTCAGGAATAGGGGTTGGAGGTAAACACCTCCGTTTTCCGGACCATTGCGAGGGCCTCGGACCCGGATCGGTGTGTGTGCAGTATCCGGGGACTCCTGTCCCCTCCACCTCCCCTCCCCAACCCTTCTGCCGAGTTGGTTGTGGTAGAGAGAGTGCTTCGCCCTCCTTTCCTTTCTCTCTGCCTATTGTTGCTTCAATGATGAGTCATGCAGGAGGTAGTAGTGTGTGTTGTGTGCGCGCGCGCCCTGCAGCTAGCTTGTGCCGCGGCAGCGGCGGAGGGGGTGGGGTGGGGGGAGCAGCAGCGGGCCAGGGGCGGGGGAGCAGCGGGTCCGCCCGGCCAACCCGGCCGACAGGCCTCTCAAGGTCAGGAGCCACTCGAGATATGTGAGACTGACATGCTTGGATTTTGCGGAATTGATGGGCCAGGACATCAGCCCACGTGCCCCTCCCCCTTGTTTTCGGGGTCCTGAGCAGGGCCAGGCCCTGACAGTACTGGTGGTGGCCGAGAATGTCCTGCTTTCAAGCCCAGCGACTGGGCGTGGAGGGGAGGGCAGCGTGCACAAGAATTGGAGAGACTTGAGTCACCTGCTGCCACCATCAACACAGTGCAATTCAGGAGTACCTATTGTGTCCTTGCCGCGCATCAGGCACTGTGCTAGAGGTGAACAGGGTTGACCCTGCTGTTGCCCCAAGGGAACACTCACATCACCTTCGTTTTACCTTCAGGCTGATTGGCCTTCTGGGGAAGGGGAGAAGACCCTGTGCCCTCTTCTCTTCCACCCTTTCCCAAATAATAAGGCCAGAGCTGGCTGTAAGAAGGACAGTGATGAGAGAGAGAGAGAGAGAGAGACAGCGCGGGCGCGCGCGCGAGAGAGCGCCCCTCCCCCACGTGGTGAGAACTGAGGGCAGGGAGCTGAGTAGAGGCCTAGTTTAACTGACCAGTCACAGGTCCTTCTTCGCGTGGCAGGAGGTCTTAGGGGATGGATGGTGCAAAGCCACATCTACTCCAAAAGCTCACATACAGATGGCTAGACCTGGCCACAGTGGTTAATCTCAAATTCATATTTTTTTTCTCCTCCTTGAGGTTCTGTCCTCTGACTTGGGGTGGGAAAAATGGGAGCAAAGGGGTGGTGTGTGGACCTGCTGACCAGAACTGCTTTCCTGGGTATGTACCTGATGAGCAGCTCTGAACAGGGATCCTGTTGTCCATGCCCTGGTTCAATCTCAAGGGTGGATTTCCTGACCTAGACCAGCCAGATTGCTCACGTGATGAACCTGAGGATGTGTGTGCACATGTGTGTGTGAGAGGAAAGAGAGGCCATCCTGGTGGTCAGGTGGGGGGGGAGGGGGTCTGGTCATTTCCAGCATTCATGGAGGTAGCTCAAATGGGAGCCTCTTCTACCTGACCTACTTACACCCTGGGAGGGGAGGGGGGGCTGCCTTATGTATTTAGCTCCCTATTAGCATGAAGAAGGGGAGGACTCCTGAACAATGGGGGCTACCTAGTGTAGATTCCTCAGGTCCCAGCCCTGAGCCTGCTGTGGCCCCTGAATCAACCCAGAACGGTCAGGCTAACTTCCCTGGGGCCAGCCTCTGGGCAGAGCCCAGGGAGGGTGTCAGAGTGCATTCATGTTTGGGAGTGCTGCATAGGTGCATTATTTTAAAGAGTCTAAACCTGTATTCTTGAGGGAGGCCCTTGAGTGACTGCCACTTTGCTGTCCCCACTGGGTTTCCCCCTCCCCAGGGCATAGGAGGAGGGTTGCTGCTGGTGGGGAGGAGGCAGGAAGCTTTGGTGGGCTGGATCTGGCTTGGGACACCCCCTCTTCTTCGCCACCAGTCAAGATTTCTCATGCCAATCCAGGTGTGATAGAGTTTGGACATTCACCTGGGTCCTTCCTGGTACCTGCCTGGCTCTGGAAGAGAGGGTAGGTGAGAAGGAGGTTGCCATCTCCTGGACCAGCTGTGTGGAGTTACTTTAAAATATGGGGAATGAGTTTTACTTTCAGGCTGAGTTCCCAGGACACCTGTCTTTGGGGCTTGGGGTCCCCTCTGTCCCACTGCTAATGGGAGAATGGAACACCGACCCCCACACCTGTGAAAGTTTGGGCCCTGGCTCAAAGGAATGAAGGTGGGCTGTGTTGGGCCCTGACCTCCAGGGCCTTGCCTTGGGGATGGGTGGGGGGTGGACTGGGTAGGTGGTAGGTGGAACTCTTTGCCAGTGTAGTCTCTGGGAAGCTGGAGAGCAGAGAGCTGGCTTTCCCCGGAGCTGTAATATTAACCAGGGCCTTTGGAAGGCCTGGGAGACCAATGCCTCCCCTCATTGGAGCAGGCCCACACCGGCCTGGCAGCTCCCCTTCCAGAAGGGCAGGGGAGATACGGAAGAGGCCCCGTGCTGCTGGGAAACCGCCGAGTGCTTCCCCTCTCACAACACTCTCTACTTCCTCCTTCGCCTCTTCTCCCCTGCGGGAGGGAGGGGCCTGGAGCAGGCCTGGCTCACACTCAAATTGTTGGTTGGCCAAAGGGCCCTGAGGCCTCAGGTTTTCTGGGGCCCTGAGCCCCAAAGGCCAGTGTGGGGTTGATGCCCTCCTCCACAAGGGGCTCTTAGCCAACCTTGTTCCCCACCCCCAACCCCACCCACCGTGGGGTGGTGTGTTTGGGGCGTGTCTGCCCGCTACTGCTGTCAGCTCAGTCAGTCAGCAGTGTGGCCAATCCGGGATGGGCAGGAGGGCTGGTGGACCAGCCTGCTCCCTGGCCTGGGGGCTACAGCTGCTCCCCAGAGATCCTGCCCAGCCCTGTAGCCAGGGAACCTGAATGGTGGGGCCCAGAGAGCATGGGGCTGGGTGGAGATGGAGAGGTGCTTCTGGATCAGGAAGGGTGTTCTCAGCCAGCTCCTGAGCAGGCCTCACCTGGCAGCAGGTCTTTCAGCAGAGATGCTGAACTGACCGGTGCGAGGCTGCCCTTCTTTCCCGCCTGCCTCTTTGCTTCCTGGTTGTCCCGCTGGTGGTGGGGACAAGAGGGATGTGGGAACGATGAGTTCTAGCACCACAAAGGGCAGAGAAGGTCTCTGAGGAAATCAGACACTGGGACCTGGCCTGGGAGTCCTGGGCCTGATTTCCTCATGTGTGAACTGAAGCTGATGTCCCTGCCCTGCCTGTGGTGTGGACTCTTGTGAGGATCCACAGGTGTGTGTGTGTGTACAGACACCTAGTGAGCAGATGCTGACACAGCAAGTATAGGTATACGCCGGGTGTCTGGATTCCTGGCTGGGTGTAGTTTCAGTAATACCTGTGACTTGCTGTGTGGTCCTCAACAAATCACTTTGCCTCTCTGAGCTAATTTATTTCATCTGTGAAGTGGAGGTGCCGCCTGCCCTCTGGAAAGTACTTGGTAAATACTTTCGAAGGCCTTCCCCAGAAGCTATGATCCACCTACCTCCCGCCCCCCCATTCTTCTCTGGTAGCCTGTGAGGTCTTTGCTGACTGGCCTCTGCCCACCTTATCTATCACCCCATTCCCCTCAGCCTTGTTCCTGAACTTTCCTGCTCATCACCAGCCTAACCTCTGAACTTTCAGGTTGCCAGACCTCCAGCATCCTCTCTGACAGCCCCTGCTCTGTCTTTCCACAGCCCCTCTCCTCTCTCAGCCTGGGTTGTTATCCTCTGTAACTTGTCCTTCCCCTCAACGCCTCTAGGCCTTGAGCTCCCCAACGCAGAGACTAGGTCTGTTTTAATTGTTCGCCGCTGTGTCCCCAGCACTTAACCCCAGTGCCTGTCTGGTTGTGGATGGGGATTTGTGGTGTCTCAGGCTGAGCGGGGGTGTCACTGAGCACTAACTGGGACAGGGTCAGAGGATGTGTTATGGTTGGAAGACTTCAGAAGCTGGGACCCAGGACTGCTGGCCCACTGAGAAAACCCCTTGTGTTCTCTCTGCGTAGAGGAGCAGGAGCGGCTTCGCTTGGAGCGGGAGAGGGAGCAGGAGCAGAAGAAGGCCAGCAGCCTGGCCAGGCTGGCCCATGCCCTGCCCGTGGAGGAGCCCCGCATTGAAGCACCACCCCTACCTCTGTCCCCTCCGGCACCCCCGCCAGCACCCCCACCCCCACTTGCCACCCCCACCCCACTGACTGTCATTCCTATTCCAGTAGTGACCAACTCTCCTCAACCTCTGCCCCCACCCCCACCAC